GTGTTCAAAAGATATCTTGTCTATCTATCCCCCCAAATTGTACCATGCACTTGTTTAGTCTATTTGTTGTTCAGACATAGTTTGTTTGAAGCCAAAAAAAATTGTAGTCCAGATTTGATTCGTCAATCCCAACTTTGTAAAATTCAACTTGTAGTGTTTGGTAAGAAATGTTTGACACGACCATGAATCCATGATCAAGCTGTTTAATATTCTGCAGAATCCACTACAAATTTCATACAACTGGAAACTGAATTGCTTACACCTGAACATCACAGAGATAGTGTAATTAATTCTTCCAACTATATTTGTCCAGCTAGAGTTCAGCTTTTGTGTTTCCGGATACACCAAGAAGCTTGGCGAGTTCCCCACTCTCATGTGCATCTACGGTATCTGAAAACCAGAAAGAAAGACAAATCTATCAATCAGCAAGTGCTGTCATAAGCAGAGACGTTTTCTTGAAGGAGAAGGAGAAGCTAAGCAATACCGTCTGATCCACCGATGTGTTTTCCGTTAATGAAAACCTGTGGTACTGTTCGTCTTCCGACGATCTCTCCAAGTGCAGTCTGGATGCTCCACCCATCCTCTGCAAGACACAATATTTACTCAAATCTCTCGACCATTAAGCCACGATTGAAACATCTATATACTACTGATCCTTCAAAGTTTCAAGAAATAGAAATGTCTGAGAATCAAGATGTCAAGAGAAAGAAGAGGTAAGAATCATGGTAGTTGGATGATGAAAAAGGAACACACCTCTTTCATCAAGCTCCACAACATAAGGAACCTGATCCAGCTCTTTGAAGACAGATTTTGCTCTCTTGCAATACCTGTTCACCAAAGGAAGCAGAAGAAAAGTGGAGATGGCCATATAGGTACATGATCTCTCTCTTCATAACTCAAAAAAAGGCCAAAGGAAACGCAGGAGAGAACAAATACACAGCACATTACTAAGAATTCCATATAAATCCAGCTCAACACCATTTGCAAACAGAGAAAACACGCTTTTTTTTCACAGAAATCTCAATCTAACAATCACAGGTGTAAAAACAACTTCATTGGGTTCAAGTTAGAGACAGATTCAGATACGAAATGTGAAACAACTACTATTCACTGAAGTTTCAGTTGATAAGATCTCTTCAATAAAAAACGTGAATTGAAGGCAACCAAGATCCAATTTTTCTGCAAATCAGACGATCAACGATTGGAAATGATCAGAGAGAGAGTGATATTACGGGCAGTATGATTTGGAGAAGATGACGATCTGGTGGGAAGAGATGGTCTTCTTAACAAATTCGGATTCTGGGGATGCATCGGAAGAAGCCATAGAAATGCATGAAACTAGAGTGAAGAGCAACATTGGCACCGAGATAGATCTAAACATTGCCATGGCTTCCTTCTTCTTCTCACTCAGATGCGTCGAATCGCAGGATCCAAACTGTAGGGTGTGTAACTTGTAAGTAGAGGCGGACTAACCCGGATCCAACCAAATCCGACCCGGCCCGTCCAAATTCGGGTCGTATTAAATATTATTTACTTGCTATTTTCCTTTAAAAAAAAACTCATTTATTTGCTCTTCTTCCATGGCAGTCTCATATGAGAGAATCAGAAGCATAAAGCACAGATCTTGACTCTATAGTAGTTAGTTAGTTCTTTGTGGTCTCTCTGTGTGCTGTTTTACACTTATTTTGCCGATGAATTTTCATATTTTAGTTTCGATTTGCTGGGGATTTCCTCATTTTGTTTACTCCACTGAAAATTCTTCATTGATGTTTCCTCTTTAGCTCTTTGCATAACTTTACATTACTATTACCATCACTAGAAAATTTTATAGTGAATCTCTTTTAATGCTTCTCAATGTCTTTGCTTCGGTTTACTTACTAAAGACAAGCAATTTCGTCTCTGTATATAAACCGGAATCAATTTTGGCACTTTGCATATAGTTGAAGGAAAAATGATGATTCTGTATGATATTTGGCCCTCTATGGTTATGTTGTTAGTCAATTAATCAACTTTTGAGCTTTTATGATTCAATTCTTGGAAAATTTTACTTATGCACTAGCAGGAGTTTTTGAGTGGTTTGAAGGAGCATGCAGGGATCATAGGCTCTTTAGGTTGTAATTGTTTCAGAATTATGAAAAGACACTTTCTTTCTCTGCCTTTGAATCAACTTAAGAATATTCAAACTCTTTGACACAAGAGAACAGAGGTTGCGTTAGTCAATCTTTTGGAAATATTGTTCATTTACTTTTCTTTTTCTGTATACAAGACTCCTCTCTCATTGGCTAAAGAAGTGTATAGTAAGACCACACTTGGACCTTTGTAACCATTTTCCGCGAGTTTTTCGACCCAATTTATTTTCCCATTGATTCTTCTTAGCTGCATTAGAACCGGAGTTTGCTTCTTCTTACCTTATACTTGCTCTCATTTTTAGTTTTATGTTGAAGAAGAAAGAACCCTTCTTTCCCTTTGTATTAAGCGACATGAAGCTGTCTCTTTTATTTGCTTTCAATGCTCTCATGTTACTTGAAGTTTCGTGCTTGTTCTTTTCTCAAGCTAGGTCTACAAATGAGATTGAGATGCAGGCATTGCTTGAGTTCAAGTCTCAAGTTGCTGAAAACAAGAGAGAGGTCTTGGCCTCTTGGAACAGCTCCTCTCCACTCTGCAGTTGGATTGGGGTTACATGTGGCCGCNAACAAGAACGAGTTAGAAGTTTGGACCTTGGAGGATTCGAATTGGCCGGTGTGATCTCACCTTCCATTGGTAATCTCTCGTTTCTCAGATTACTTAATCTTGCAGACAACTCTTTTGGTAGTACCATCCCTCAAGAAGTGGGAAAGCTATTTAGGCTTAAGTACTTGAACATGAGCTCCAATCTTCTTGAAGGAAGGATTCCGCCTAGTCTATCGAACTGCTCTAGCCTGTTGATACTTGATTTATCGTCAAACCATCTCGGACATGATGTTCCTTCAGAGCTAGGTTCACTTTCTAAGCTTGTCATTGTGTATCTTCTTGAAAACAACCTTACAGGACAGTTTCCTGCATCTTTAGGAAACCTGACATCACTCCATGAACTTGACTTTGCATATAACCATATGGAAGGAGAGATTCCAGATTATGTAGCTAGATTGACTCAAATGGTGTTTTTCCAAATATCACTGAATAGTTTTTCAGGCGTTTTTCCTCCTGCTTTATACAACATGTCCTCACTTGAGTTTTTATCCCTAGCTGGCAATAGGTTTTCGGGTAGCCTTAGGGATGATTTTGGAGACCTTCTACCAAATCTAAAAACACTTGTTTTGGGAACAAATCAATTCACCGGTCCTATTCCCCTAACAATTTCCAATATCTCAACCCTTGGAAGGTTTGATATCTCATCTAATCACCTGACAGGAAATATCCCTTTGAGTTTTGGACAATTATCTAATCTGTGGTGGTTAGGGATTCATAGTAACTNTCTGGGAAACAACTCCTCCAGTGATCTTGAATTTATTGGTGCTTTGGCTAACTGCACTCAATTAGAGCACTTAGATGTTGGCTACAATAGTCTTGGAGGTGAGCTGCCTGCCTCCATTGCCAATCTGTCCACCAAATTAACTAGTCTGACCCTTGGAGGAAATCTCATATCTGGAACCATTCCGCGTGACATCGGGAATCTTATAAGCCTGCAAGAACTCAGTTTAGAAGCAAATCTGATGACAGAAGAACTTCCAGTCTCTTATAAAAATTGATTTACTGTTATATATATATAATTTAGATTAGCATACTATACAAATGTTTTAATTTTGATATAGTCTATTATACATATATAACTAAACTTACAAATATTTACACATTTCATTATTGAAAAATATATATTGTTTTTGTTTGTTATGTCCGACATATTAATAAAAATCTAAAATTTCTATGATTTTGCATAGTTTATAATTTACACGAATATTTAAAATAATTGTTTTTCCTGTTTGGTTTCGGTCGGTTTTCATTAGGGGCTATAAAAAAGAAAATTTCTCATCATGTTTCTCAGAAAGAAAACTGAAACCTCCAGAAAAAAAAAAACCCATTTTGAGTATAGCGATGTCGAATTCAACCTTTGAGCCACCGCATAAAAGGAGGAAGACGTCTCCGGCTACGTCACCGTTATCATCTCTTCCGGAAGAGATGACTTTGAGCTGTCTCGCTCGAGTGTCGAGATCGGACCAGGCGGCCTTATCTCTGGTCTCGAGTACTTATCGTTCTCTAATGGCTTCGCCTGAGCTCTACAAGACGAGATCGATGATGGGTTTCACCGAGAATTGCATCTACGTATGCTTGCTCATCCCTCCAAACCCATTCCCACAGTGGTTCATCCTCCGACGTGGTAAAACCACGAATCGCCTCGTGAGATCCCTGATCCCTTCGATCCCTTTTCAGCCTACGGAAGCATCCTCCGTGGTGGCGATTGATTGGGGGATCTACGTAATCGGTGGAAGTAGAAATAGGAAACGCACCTCCAGGGTCTTTCTCCTCGATTGTCGAACTCACACGTGGACTCAAGCCCCTTCCATGGGAGTGGCTCGATCCGCTGCAGCGGCTGGAGTTGTTGACGGGAAGACTTACGTCTTCGGAGGCTGTCGGGATCCGGATTACTTAAACTGGGCAGAGGTATTCGACCCAAAGACCCAAACTTGGTGTCCTTTGCCACCTTTCCCTGATCGGGAGATACGTTTACAGTATATACACGACAGTGTGGTCGTGAAGGAGGACAAGATTTACTCGGTTGATGGAAAGGATAGAACTTTGTACTACTCGCCGAGTGAAGGTAACTGGGGAATAGGGAATGAGACTCCGGAATACAACAAAAGGGATTGGTGTGTCATAGATAAATTGATCTACGCATGTGGTCGCAAAGGGGATTTGTGGTGGTGTGAGCCAGACGAGTTGGAGTGTAAACCAGAGGGGATGTGTTGGAGGAAGGTGATGGGTTTGGACTCTTTGAAGAACGGTCTCACTTGTTCCAGACTAGTCCACTTTCATTCCAGGTTGGAGGCTTCATGGGAGTCCCAGAAGATCGCCTTTGGTGGGACCGAAAAGCTCATTGATTTACTTCCCGGGTTCAGACTGAGCAACGTTGGTGGCAACATTTTGCTCTTCTGGGACGTCATTGAGGGTGAACATCTTGAGATTTGGTGTGCAGAGATTTCCTTGGAAAGACGCAAAGGACCTGAGATTTGGGGCAATATTGAGCGCTCTCAGGCTGTTATGACCGTTGATCCTTTCTTAAACCACTACAAGGTTTTGCATTCTGTTTCTGTCACTCTCTGAACTCCTTCTTTCTCTTGTTTAACTTACTTATTTATGTCTTTTCTATCTATCTCTCTATCTATATTACATCAGTGAATCCAGTACTTTCTCCTCTGTTATTCGTTTTCTATCTATATTACATCAGTCAGTCCAGTGATCTCTCCTCTGTTATTCGTTCACACTCACTCTATTCCTATCCATTGTTTTCGGGTATTAGGTAGGTGCTTATGATCCTTTTTTTCCCTTCTAAAGAGTTCTCAATAAAGTAGAATACATTCAGGTGATTATGGGCTCCGTTTTGTACACGACGAACACTTTGCCTCAAGGGCAAGGCTAAAAAAAGTAGATTAAACAGGAAAAAAATGAAATCATTCAAATTTTTTTATTTGGATATGGTTTTTCAGTGCTCAAAGTCGGTATCTTTTGCCTCAAGGGCAAGGCCAACCCTCATAAAAAAACAGGTGACCCTAAACGATATCTCCTCTCACGTCTCCATGTAGATTAAATATAAAAATCCTAAAATTGTAGTTTTCGATTATGAAATTGCAGTTGTTATACGCTTTTTATAAGCGACATGAGGCTGTGTCTGTTATCTGCTTTCAATGCTCTCATGTTCTCATGTTACTTGAAGTTTCGTGCTTGTTCTTTTCTCAAGCTAGGTCTACAAATGAGATTGAGATGCAGGCATTGCTCGAGTTCAAGTCTCAAGTTGCTGAAAACAAGAGAGAGGTCTTGGCCTCATGGAATAACTCCTCCCCACCCTGCAATGGGATTGGGGTTAGATGTGGCCGCAAACAAGAAAGAGTTATAAGTTTGGACCTTGGTGGATTCAAATTGGCCGGTGTGATCTCACCCTCCATCGGTAATCTCTCGTTTCTCAGATCACTTAATCTTGCAGATAACTCCTTTGGTAGTATCATCCCTCGAGAGGTGGGAATGCTATTTAGGTTTCAGTACTTGAACACGAGCTTTAATCTTCTTGAAGAAAGGATTCCACCCAGTCTTTCTAACTGCTCTAGACTATCAACCCTTGATTTATCGTCAAACCGTCTTAGACATGATGTTCCTTCAGAACTAGGGTCACTTTCTAAACTTGCCAGTCTGTATCTTGGTGAAAACAACCTTAGTGGAAATTTTCCTGCATCTTTAGGAAACCTGACATCACTCAAGGAACTTGACTTTGCTTATAACCATATGGAAGGAGATATTCCACGCGATGTAGCTAGATTGACTCAAATGGTTTTTTTCCAAGTATCATTGTATAGTTTCTCAGGTGTTTTTCCACCTGGTTTGTACAACATGTCCTTACTTGAGTCTTTATCCCTAGCTCACAATAGCTTTTCGGGTAACCTTAGGGATGAGTTTGGTAATCGTCTACCAAATCTAAGAACACTTCTTTTCGGATCAAATCAATTCACGGGAGCTATTCCTATAACACTTTCCAATATCTCAAGCCTTGGAAGGTTTGACATCTCATCTAATCACCTGACAGGAAGTATCCCTTTGAGTTTTGGACAATTACCTTAATCTCTGGGAAACAACTCCTCCAGTGATCTTGAACTTGCTAGTGCTTTGGCTAACTGCACTCAATTAGAGCACTTAGTTGTTGGCTACAATAGTCTTGGAGGTGAGCTGCCTGCCTCCATTGCCAACCTGTCCACCAAATTNACTAGTCTGTCCCTTGGAGGAAATCTCATCTCTGGAACCATTCCTCGTGACATTGGGAGTCTCATAAGCCTGCAAGCACTCAGATTTGAAACAAATATGTTGACAGGAGGACTTCCAGTCTCTTTGAAGAAGCTTTTGGAACTGCGGTGCTGGATCTGCGTTCGAATGCAATATCGGGGGAACTGCCATCTTATTTTGGCAACATGACTCNGTTGCAAAAGCTCCATTTGTTAAAAAGCCGCCTCTTGAGGATTGGAACTCCACCTCGCCTTATTTGCATCATGTTTGGTTTTATGTCCGGGAGAGTATTTCTAGCTTGCAATGCTGTTTCCTTTTACATTTTTGGACATGAGTTCCTGCACGAGGCTCTCTTATATCATCTCATTCGGACAGATCCAAGGGTACGACTTCTCCATCTACTTCTATCACATATATCTCTTTACTATGAGCGCCAGTTTTCAGCTGTGGAGAAGCTTATCCCGTTCTTACCTCAGTTCACAGCACAGTTTGCTCTAGTCTTCTGTTTCTCTGAGGATCTAGTGTTATGCATCTTTCTCCAAACCGTTGCATTTGTAGCTTTCAACAAGGTATATAATGCTGTTGTCATTTCTGTCCAAAAGAGTCTTCATTTGGTCATTGTCTTATGCATTCCTCAGTGAGCTAAACCTTCTGGTTTTGATCTAATTGGTCCATTTGTCTCTAGGTGATAACGGCGCAATACTTTGTGTGGTTCTATTGCCTGCTACCTTTGATTCTACCATGGAGCCTATGAAGCTGAAATGGGAAGGCATCATCCTGTGGATTGGACCTCAGACCATTGGCTCTTAATGGGGGGATACATGCTCGTGTTCAAGGGCTTGAAAGTCTTTTTACAGCTATGGATGGCGAGTTTGCTGTTTCTGGCTGCAAACACTTTTGTCCTCATCGAAATCATACAGCGATATTGATTCTCTCGTCTCTTCAAACGGTACGAATCTACTGCTCCGAAGAATGTTACGAAACTGGACTGATACTAATCAAAACTCGAGTGATACTTGATTTGTTTTGTTGGGTTCATATGTTGAGAGACCTTGAAGTTATGGCATTATATATGATTCATGAGCTGCAAATTTTGTTGGTGTTTTTAATGCGTTCTAAGGTTTTTCTTAGCATTCTTTCAAGTATAGCTTATAAATATTGGTGGAGAGCAAAGAGATGTACAAAACACAAAATCGTACTTTTAAGGTGCCTGGCTCGAGACGAGACTTCATTCTGTAGATCGTTAATAANTTTAAAAGTAATTAAGGATAGCTTTTCTTTTTCTTTTGATCGAAAAGGATAGCATTTCATAAACTTTAATAACTAATTAACTCCATAGATTCAGAAAAGAACAAAGATATTTTGGTTTACGAGAATCTACCGGACGATTTAGATTACACAGAGATAATGAGGAAAAGCCGGTTATGTATTTGCCCGAGCGGTCACGAAGTTGCTAGCCAGAGAATACCGGAGGCAATATACAGCGGATGTGTGTCGGTTCTTATTTCGGAGAAATATACCGTTTAGAGATGATTTGAATTGGGAACTTGTTTTTGGTATGGGTATCGGTTTAGGAACTACCGAAACTGAAAAGGATATTGATTTTTTTTTTG